CTCGAGGGCTTATAATTTACAGTATACACACTGTAATGGTGTATGATAATATGAAATTTCTCACGAGTATAGTATAAACTTTTTCAAATGGGATGTCGATATACTTAAAGTTTTAAACCTTGACGGTTATAAGTTTTCATTGTTCACAATGACTATAACTTTTTACTAATTGTCGATATAGTATTCTGCGCGCGTGGCTTGTAAATAAAAGTAAAAAAAATTTAAAAAATTAACAAGCAGTTGAATTTATCCTTTTTTTGGGTATGAAAGTAAGCGCGCATGTTTTAATGTAAATACAGATTGTAATATCGAATTTCCATCACGGCCTATAATTGTATAAAGGGTTTTAAATTTGATATATTTTAAAGAAATTATGAAAAATATTTAAATTTTTTAATACAAACAAATTTATTAATATTAGTGTTTATAAAAAGCAAATATTGATGATAAACTATTCATTAAAACAATGATTACTGTTGTTTTGGAGTAGCATGGTTATTGACTGTTATCTCCTCTGGATTAGTTATCAGTCGGTAATCGGTAGGTTTTTTTGGAACTGAATAAAAAAAAAAATTATAATCCAGGCGTTCATGCGTTTTCGTTAATATTTTATATAAAGTTTTTCCGCATTAGCATCAAATTAATTATTTGTAACTGCCCATATTAATAAGAATAATAAATTAATAATTATTAAGTAATAGTAATATAACGTATATTTCATATATTTTTATAACTAACACTGGAAATCGTCTCAGGACCATGTGGAATCCATCGAATTACCTAATATCATGGAATTTTTTTTAAAAAAAAGTCCAATAATGTACGGAATTCTCATTTATTTCTACTTAGCTAATAATTTTAATCCTTGATATTGCATAACAATCTATTAATAATGACAATTTTACGGAGTTATACCATTATACCTTCAATTGTAATGTGTTAACTAGTTTCGTCGATCGATTATTATTTTTATCATTAATGATGTGAACCATTTATAGGGAAATATAAATGGTTTCATTATTAAACATTTATAAAGTATTAAATAATTCATATAACACGCATTAAAATTCCACCAAGGAATGACTACAGTGGTGACAAATGCAAATTAAAATTGTCATTTTCAAAACGCTCGAGTGTTTCAGGGAATGTTTAAAGAATTCAATTTTTTCTCCCTTTAGAGGTAGTAGTTTTTTCTATTTTATAGAAAATATAATAAAACATTTATGATTGGCCTAAATTTAATATCATAAAATATGAAAGCTTATTAATGAAACAGCTTTCTTTCAATTTAATTTAAAAATTAAATTAAAAATATAAATACGTTTTGAAAAGTATTAATTTATAAACCATATGTTCTATATTATAGAATTATTATTGAAATATTATATTATAAATATTATTTATACAAAACTATTGATTTTTTTTTTAAATTATATCTATACAACTAATTAATAATAAGCTTTAGAAAAATTAATTAAAAACAATATACTAATGTTTGGTAATACCACTTGATATATTGTACATATGTTTTAGAATACATCAACATTAAGAAAAACTTTATATTAGTAAAATTAATTCTATTTGGTCTATATAAATCTAAAAATAGTAGCTTTGTAATGTCTGCTTATTTTAATTTTCCATTTATGAATGAAATATAATTATATGTGTAATTTAATGAAATTCAAATATGTATCACAAGTATATTTATTTAGGTTACTTATTCAAAAAAATAAATTCAGTATTATAATTAAACTTATCCAAATTTTTCATACTTCACTAATAATCTAATGAGTTATTATAATTTATTTAAAAAAAAATAATAAATTTCAACAAGTGAGTACTTATTGTTTGAATATTTGGAGAAAAATAGCAATAGTTTGTTTAAGTAATTTTCTAAATATTTTTTACTTCGATTAATGATTCGATTTTAATGATATTCTTATCTTAAGCACAACGTATTTAATGAAATTATTTAAATAAATTAGGTATCTGTGAACTTTTGAATATAATTTAGATTTCTCAATCGATAACAAAACCAATTTTTCTTAGATTTTCTTTCGTACGAAACAGATAAAAGCATATGAAAATTTATCATGCATACGTTTTTATGATCTATACAGGGAATTTACAATGTATTCAATTATATTTTTATGCGTTGTAAGTTTATCAAATATGAAGTCAATTTAAAAGGTCCAATGAACGTGACGTTCATATACTATCGAAATGATTCAGAATTTATACTTAGTTCGTATAAAAAAGTCCGTTGTTGAAGTAATAAAAAAAAAAATATATATATATAACTAAAGAAATTTATTGTAATGACCAGTTGAAAAAAAATTTAGTGCACCAACAATATGGATAATAAATAAAAATAAGTTTATGAAATTATCTACTACAATATTGCAATTCTTTGTTTTATATAGGATTTCTAACGGTTTTATAGAAGCATTATTCAATTCAGCAATTATTTAGGTATTTTATTGTAAAATTTAATTTCGAATCACTTGAATTATTCATTTAAACATGAAATGGATGATAGTGGCTTACAAAAAGTAGATACAAAGTCAGTTGTACTATCAAGATTTACTCTAATATACTTCAAAATATATAAAAGTAGGTACTTTATATAATCCTCTTGTAATAAGAAGCAGTTTGCGAATAAGTTGTAAAAGGAACCTACTCAAAATTTCAAAGATACTATAAGAAGTACCGCGCCATTGATATATTTGGCAATTCAAAGCGATCTCCAAGAACAGTAAAGGGAATTCGAAGGCCGTTCTTCAAATATTGGACGTACATGTCAATATCAAAGAGTCACTGAGTAGTGCTTAAATTGGGTAAACTAAGTGAATGAACTCGGTCAACAGTTTTAAAACTGCGTCGTGACTGTATAATTATTCAACCCAAAGCCATAGGTTCATTCGTTCCCTTTTTTCCCTTTTAACCATTACTTCAATAATAATTATAGCTCTAGTAACGACTATACTCATTAGACTTTCAACAAAATAAAAAAATTAAAAATGTATTATAAATATTTTAAACGGTGATACCTACATAATATAACTATGTTACACTTAGACGTGACTTCCCGTGCATTTCAGAATATCTTAAATACAGCGAAAAAACTATTTAAGTTAACCCATATTGCGACATTAAATTAATAAATATATAATAATAAATTATGGCTTAGGCTCGTTTACTATTTACCTTTAAAAAGTATAGCGTTTTACATTAAAAAAAAAAAATAAAAAAAAAAGAAAGCATCTAGAATATCTAATTAAGTTCTCTTTTATTCCTCCCTTCAAATGTTTGCACTGCCATTAAGTCGACATCCATCACACGGAAACCAAATAAATTATAGTAGCGTTTAAGCCACCGTTGTTGGCATCTCTATTCGATTGACTTTAAACATGCACAAATATACTGTTATTATTTGTCACAAGCTTTTCAGCATTTGTGTCGGATAACATATAATTATAATTGGTAATGTATAAAATATATAAAATTGCATATTACATAGAAACATAAGATATAAGTTTATGTTAAGGCTACACAAGAATTCGATTTCTTAATACATGATTACATGATGTACGCAGAGTTAAAAAATAGATCAAGATGATGGATAATAAAATAAAAACATGTATTAGTGAATATTTTTTTGATAAAAAAAAAATATTTTATTTTGGATAGTTTAAATATCGAATAAAAATTAAAAAGAAAAAAACTTTTCTGAATAATTTTATCTGTGTATATATTAATATTATTCTGAATAAATGTATAAAATAGACTGTGAATAATCTTGAATACTTTCGAAAACAATTATAATTTATACATATTTATAAAAAAAGAATATAATTATAATAATAATAATAATAATATCAAAAACAATCAACATATAAATTACGATAACGATGATTATGACAAGATTTTCTTTCGTTTTCGATAGCTCAAAATATGTTATCAATATGAAACACACCGATTGTATTAAAGTTAAAACTTTAAGTTATCTTCAGAACAATCAGGTCAAATACGATTATATGGAATGATAAATAATGAATAATTATAAAAATTGAAACCATAAACATAACAGAAAAGAAAAACCATATGAAAAATAAAGAATAATTGTTATTAGACGAACGTAAATTTCATACTGTTATTCATAACTAGATTGTATTGATTATATTTTAAAATTTTAATTGAAACCTAAAACAAAACCACGTTGCAAACGGTTGAAAAATAATAAAAAATTTGTAGCGATTGCAAATACGATGCCCAACTTGAAGTACGTCAAAAAATAATACATATATTCGGCTATAAATTAATGTTTTACATGAACGAAAACTACGGGACGAAATCATGGATCGATGTAATGACATCAATCGGACATCAATGTGTGTTTTGCAACAGTTGTACCACGTTGGAATAACAATAATAATAATAATATATTCGTTTTAACATATGTTGTAGAATTCGTTTCGTCCGAGGAAAAATTATGTTTCTAGAAATCCGAGAGATAACAACGGCACTCGCGCAATCAGTGTCGGTCTGATCATGGCCGGTAGTCTACCCCCGGTTGAATACGTGCTGAGGGTTCCTAATTTCTAAAGATTTATAAATTATCAAAGCAGTCGTTACAATTGATGTTTTCGACGATCGATTATTTACAGTTTTAATTGTTCAACGGTCTTTAGTGAACTAAAAGAAAAATGATAAAAGAAATCAATCGCACGATCCGAGTGTCATAAATATTACGAGGTATTATTTATATTACTGATTTAATAAAAATTACGATAACTATGTAGTTGATCTCGATTGTTTTGTGTATATTTTGAACAACGGGCCGTTAAAACATTCTAATACTATTTATAAGCATTTTTTTTTTTTATCGTTTTACGAGAAGACGTTTTTGGAAACCTTTCCGAAAAAATCCATTCGGGGCCCATTGAGTACCAGGCCGTTAGCAATTAAATACAGAAATGAAAAAAACAGGTCATACTCACTGTAAACGACCATTGGTTGCCACGCGGACCGGCGTTCAGCGTTCCAGTCTTCCACCTGGCACCGGTACTCGCCGGTAAGATCGGCGGCAGGCCGTTCGACTCGGATGACCCGGTGCAACGCGGACCGGTCGTCGCGCGGCGTCTGCTCGGTCACGTCCACGGTACGACCGCTCAACGGGCCCAGCCCACCACCGGCCTCGGGGCCGCCGCCCGCGATCCACTGGTACACCTGCTCGTTGTCGTTGATGATGGCCATAGCGTCGTTGGCCTCGGCCACCGGCACCGGGTTTCGACGGAAGTACCACTTGACCACCAGGCCCCGTTGCCGCTGCACCTCCTCCATGGCCGCGTCCATGGCCAGCTCCGGTGCCGGCGACCCGCGCTTGTCCCGGCCGTCCGCGGTCCCGTTCGGCGCCACCGTCGCCACCACGTCGCCGTTCTCGTCGTCGTTCTCGCCTCCGTGCAGCGCGTACACGCAGCCCAACAGCAACGGCGGCTCGCCAGGTCCGGCCGCGTCGTACGACCGCACCACCGGCGGCACGTCCACGCGCACCACCCGCACCACGTCCACGGTCATTGCTGCCTGATCTGCGGACAAAACGACAACGCACCGTTACCATACTGTTACGACACCGTTCGGATCATTGCGGTCATCGAGACCAGTTGATGAAAATTATTATTTTTTTCCGATTATAATGATAATAATTTTGCATTGACAATGAGAACAACGCTTTTCTGCTACGCGGGAATTACTAATCGTGTGCTGTACGATACACTTTGTGCAATACGAAATGTTAAGTGTGTAGTACGGAACTGAAAAGTGTGTTGTGGTTCTACTCTCAATGTTAGGATATTTGTTTTCAATTTTACATTTATATTTTATTAAATGATCTTACATATTTTTAAAAAATTCTATGATGTATCATCAGCAAAATCTAAAATGTCAACCATTTTCTACTGTATTACATATTACCCATAAAATGGTGCTGCTTAGACATGTTTCGGTTTATGTTTTGAAAATTTCCTTTTGACACTTGTTACAGTAACCGACAGTGAAAGAAATAAATAAAATCACGTTAACAAGTCAGGGGACTAACTTTACATTCGTATAACGTATTTTTCATATATATTTAACAGTAGTGTAAATACTATCGTGTTGATATCATATAATCCGCGTACACGTTCAGTAATCACTTTGTATTATTTCAATATTCCATGATTTTATTTACTGGAATTGAAATTTTTTAAACAGTAGGTACATAACTTCATTGCGAGGCCCACGGAAAATCTCGCCTCTGAAGACGTGAACCCCGTTTCGGTACCGATTCGTAGCGGACGCTACTTTTTGTATTCACCTACTAATTCAGAGTTATTATCTGCACGCAAACTTCGGTAACGTTTCAAGTGCGCGATTGGAGAAAATAAAAAAGGTGCACCACGGGGTAATGTTTATTTTTTTTTCGTCACTCTCTCCAACGGAACGGAAGAAAAAAAAGTTGAATTTTATACGATGGTCTTGTTCCGCGAAACACGGGTTTTCTACCCCCAGAAATCGTAAGAAAAATAATTATTTACCGATCTGCGGACACGACGATCACGATCACGAGTCACGCCCGTGTCGTCGTCGGTCCATGAAACGTCAAACCCGAGTCGAAACGCTTCTGACGTACTCTTTTTAACATCGGTACACTATACCGCTGTATATCGTCCGCAGAACGATGTATACGATTTTCAGCGAACTGATAATAACACTCTGGTATTGTACATTACCGGTAGTCACACAAACTAGTGTGTACACAAAGGTTGTTTGTTCGTTAGTTTCGGTTTTGTTGGTTTTTTTTTTTTTTTTTGTTTGTCTTACGATCAAACATTCGACAAAGTAAACCGGCGAAAATTTCTCAAACGATTCCTGCGTAGTTATACGTATACACACGAATAGTTAGATCGGAAATCAAATCTATTGCGGGTTAGCGATTTCAGTTCACTCGGTACGTTTTCCCACGTAAAGTCAAAAACCAAAAGGAAATAAACAGGTAAACAACGTTCGATTTAGTTCGTATTTAGATTGTAACTTATTTACAACCCGTTCGGAGAGTAGATAACGAATTTTCGTACATGGACAATTGATGAGAAAAAACGTAGAACAAAAACTTTGGATGACTCGCTGCGTTTGTGTGCTTTTTTGTACGCGTTTTTTTTTTTTTTTACAGTTTTTGTACGTAACCATTAACAATTCCCGAATTTCCTCTTACGTCTTTTACGTTTAAAAATGTTTTAACCGTCAAAACGGTACAAGAAACATTTCCGTAAATCATTTATCTTTGTTTTCTTACGCACTGAAATATTATTGTTCAGATCAACCAAGCCGGTTCGTATCGATCGAAAAACTTTTTAGTCTAGACCAATTTTCGCATAAATTTTTAAAATTAATTTTGAATTATTATTCATATTAACTTATGGATTTTATTAAATGCATAAGATAATTACTAAATCGGTGTAGTCATTTTGAGATCAAGGAATATTTTAATGAGATTTTGTTTATTACGTTCCCGATTTATCTTTTATGTTTACTGAATATTAATGTGGTGGCCAAATTACCAATTAATAATTACCATTGAACTCGTTGAAGCGTTTACAGTAGGCACTGTGGGAATGTGTTACCATGGAAACGAACATATCAACATTACTAAATTCGAAACAGTACTCATATCACGTATTAGTTTTGGTACACATTTAAATAAGACTATAAATTATATATTATATAATATACATGACAATAATTTAAATTCGAACTAAACAGCTGAGTTAAGTATGATAGTATATTCAAGAAATAAATATTAAAATTATTATGCTATTTTTTCTATAATTTATCATAATTCGTAAGTATACAAAATCTCCCAGAAGAAATATATATGGTGTTAGAAATTATAATATCCCAACGTTTGTTTCAAATACAGTACTTAATCATTTTCCTTTAGGGTATTCCGTAATTATAACTTCATGATAATTTAAAATGTAATCAATTTTATTTTTCTATGGATCGATGTACTTACAAAGTTAGATAAGACTCAAAACATCATTTTTATAATTAATCATTTTGCAATTAACTTTATTATAGTTACCTAATCATTTACCCATATTTTGAAAATAAAAGTACTAGTTTAAAAATCATGTAGTGTTAAGGTAAAATTAAAATGCCAGTGTTTTATGAATCTTAAATGCATTTTATTATAAATCATGTGTTTTTTTTTTAAAAAGCTTGATCAATTCAAATATATGACGAATTCGTAATAATTTATTAAATAATACTTTTTGAAATGAACAGTAAAAGTCTAAAGTGATTATTAGTGTTCTTATATGGTATTTTTGATTAAATTATTTTAGAAATGTAGACAAACAATGAAGTCGAATATTCGCTATACATTCTCGTTCACATACGCTTTTCCAATTTCAATCAGTAAATCGAAGACAACCGAAAACAAAGTTTTCGAATAATTAACAAATCTATTTCAATTGAAAAAGCTTCGTTTGCAGCAAGCGTCTACTATAATACAACAATAAAACATGTGCTCGAACAATAAGTACATTATTTAATTCACCTACCGAAGAGACAGCTGTGCAGGACAACATTTTTAATTTTGCCCTTGTAAAATTAAACGTGTAACGAACCGGCACAAGTACCGGGTAAAAAAATAATGTTATGAAGCACAAAATGTCATGGTCCAGCTACTTGTTGCCGTTAAACATTTTACGAAGCATGGTGTATACCTACGTTATTTTTTGTTTACCAACCGCAACATACCGCGTACGGTTTTACATTTATGTATATAATATTTCAATACAAAAATTATGAGTTTTCCATTCTATAGACATAACACGTTAATTTTTCGGCAACGCGATGTTACATGATAATTATTATGTCTTATTATTATATTATATTATTATTATTATTATCTTAAGATATTTGTACGAATGCATTCGTGACGTGGACTAAAGGAATTTTCCCCGATTTCATAAGTTTTCCGGATAATATTATTTCGTATTATTATTGTTATTATTATATCGAATATGCCTGTACATATTTCGTTGCATAATTCATAGGATTTATATTTATCACACGACGTAATTTTTTCTACAACATCACGTATATGTTACATATTTTCAACAATAATTGTTGTCTTTTGCGGGGTTGACCACGAGATTATGATAGTAAATTACGCATCATCGGTATGGTGACAGCAGCGGTTTGTGTGGTAATGATATTATAGGTGTATATTACACCTCCTAAACAGCAAAGTTTGACTATTTCCTATTACGTCGCGCCGATAAATCACCAAACGGCGATGTGTGTACATTTGAAAACTCCCTCTGTTACCAACACGGTTTATGTTATGATAATTGTTTGAGACCCGGCAAACGCGGAAACCAAGCGATCTAAAATTAGATAATACGAACGCGAAGGTCATGCGAGCATGTACGTCAACGCTAATAAAACATATTGCCCCCGCTGCGGAAACGTGAACAACAATTTAAGAACCGTGAATGTACGTGATCACTGTACGTATTGATTTTACGACAAAAATCGCATCAAGCTCGGGGAGACCACAGTAACCGTCATATATCGTGATACGTATGAAATATATATATATCATAGGGAACACCGGCAGGTATTTTTTTTTGGTTTACGTACACGATTTCATGGACGGGGATAGAGATCCAACGGTCACCGCGAAGTATGCTTGTTTCAACGCCTACTTTCTTTTTTTTCTCGTTTCACAAATCGCACACGTCTACTCCGTACACTTGCAACGCATCGGAGTTACGGATTTCGGCAGGGTTACATCACCACCATAAATGTACATAAGTATAGCACTGCAGCAGACAAAGAGCAGTAGCGCAGTGCAATAAGTTGTCTTTCCACGCCAATATCGTTTTGACATTTTCTGAAAAAACCGTAAATATTTTTTGCTCGAGATATAAAATCAATATTTCGATAAAATATACTTTATTATTGGTTATGGAATAGTATTTTTTGTAAAAAAAAAAAAAAAAATTGTAAAATTTGTACATTATTTAGACCTGACAAGGGCGTCAATAAACTTATAATCGTTGTTGCGTCTGTAGTCTGCGCGATTCCTCTCCACTTTTTCCAAAGCGCGCGTGTTGGGAGGGATCGGCGATATAACGCCGATACGGCAGGACCACTAATACGGTAAAACAGTTATGAAAATAATAATACAGCCCCTAGTATAGAACGTGCAGTTGAGCGTGTTCGTGTACCCATGCGTAGTGCCGCGTGTACTCAGTTCAAAATCATCACGGTGTCACCAATATGGAATATTTTTACTGACTCGAAATTCACATATCATTATCCCCTCCCCCTCCGGCAGTATTAATATGCGCCCCCGAACCGTGTACGGTTGATCCTGCGCGCAGGAAACCCATGTCTGGTGTAGAGTCGTTATACACCGTGAATCAGTGGTGGCTTCAGAGTAGGGCCTCACCTGAAAAAACCTGACCCTACCGCCGACGACCCAACAGTATTTTATACAAACAAAAATGAAAATAAATTACTGCAGCGGTTCCCC